CCACAATTGAAGAGAGATATTGACAAGCTGGAATGTGTCCAGAGGAGGGCAACTAAAATGATCAAGGGTCTGGAGAACAAGCCCTATGAGGAGCGGCTTAAAGAGCTGGGCATGTTTAGCCTGAAGAAGAGAAGGACGAGAGGAGATATGATAGCCATGTATCAATATGTGAGAGGAAGCCACAGGGAGGAGGAGGGAGCAAGCTTGTTTTCTGCTGCCCTGGAAACTTGGAGCAATGGATTCAAATTAAAGGAAAGGAGACTTCACCTGAACATTAGGAAGAACTTCCTAACTGTGACAGCTGTTCATCAGTGGAACTCTCCGCCCCAGAGTGTGGTGGAGACTCCTTCTTTGGAGGCTTTTAAACAGAGGCTGGATGGCCATCTGTCAGGAGTGCTTTGAATGCAATATTCCTGCTTCTTGGCAGTGGGCTTGACTGGATGGCCCATGAGGTCTCTTCCAACTCCATGATTCTATGATTCTAAGGTACGGTTGCAGCTGGCGCAATTGTGTGAAAGCCCTCCCAGCCACTGCCAACGCCTGGGCCTCAAGTGTTAGCGATGAGTCTAGGAGGACACCCAAGCTGCGGACCTGTGACTTCAGGGGGAATGCAACCCCATCAAGCACAGGTTGCCACCCTATACCTTGATACAAGTAGTTGCATCTACTCTTCTGGAGTACCGTTTCACAACTAAGAGGAGGAAGTGGTATAACTGGGTTTATATTCCATGGAAAGAATGAGTAAATATTGTTCTATGGAGGCAATTTTAGGTGAAGGTATCATAATACCATTTTATCACGTGTCTTGTCATTTATTTATTACATGATGAGTAATAAAATAAAAATCCTCTCACCAGATACCGTTGGTGAGGTTGTCTGAGAGTGGACTCTTTTGTCACAGTCAGTTTGGATATTTGTGTAGCCAATTTGTTCTTTCATTTTTAGCTGGGTCATCTTGTTTTGATACCATGGTTAATGTGGGTTGGTAAGTTAATAATTGGTGTCTCCAAGATAATCGAAAGGCTGGATTTAATTTTAAGCTGCCATCACTTTAAAATGACTTGCAGAATATTGGATCTTTAAAGTTCTAGGTCAGTTGAACCAGGAACCCGAGGAAGTTAGTAGCAGTCAGAGTCAATAGACAGAAGGTAAAATCAATTTTGAAGGGGCAAGGGGGGAATATTATTACTTTTTTCTTCTACAAGTTGAATTATTAACTTTGTATTTACTCCCAACAATTGTCCTGCATTTTATGTCATTTAAACTTACTAGAAAGTATCAATATAACAACACAATGGCTTTCTTGGGAAATGAGTGCTTTTTTGTTACTTTCGTGATAGGAACCAGGTTCTTTGCTGGAATGATTGGTGGGATGTAAGATATGAATGATTCAAACATCACTGATGAGTTTTCTTCCTCCTTCTTCAACTGTACTGCATTTGACAAGCACATTGAATTGCTCGTATAATCTCTATTTTCCACTTAAAAGAAATCTCCTACATTCGGGTAGACCAGTGGTTCTCAGCCTTCCTAATGCCACAACTTTTTAATATAGTTCTTCTTGTTGTGGTGACCCCCAACCATAAAATTATATTCATTGCTACTTTATAACTATAATTTTGCTACTGTTATGAATTGTAACAATTTAAAAGCTATTTGTATATATGTGGCCTCACTACTTAGGCAATCTCTTGTTGTCCGAGTAGGATAGTCTTCCGAGATCAGCTTACTAGTGGGTCCGTAGGTGACAGTGGAGCCCTATTCTTGATCTGCATCTTCTCCCACAGTGAGGGCATTTGTTTCCAGGTGGAAGGTGGTCTCGGTCAGGATTGGCTTGATGCACCTTCCTATTGGCACGTTTCTCTCTTTCACCCTCCATTCGTGCCTCTTCAAATTCTGCAGCACTGCTGGTCACAGCTGACCTCCAGCTGGAATGCTCAAGGGCCAGGGCTTCCCAGTTCTCAGTGTCTATGCCAGAGTTTTTAAGGTTGGCTGAACCTATTTTTAAATCTCTTGTCCTGTCCACCAATATTTCATTTTCCGTTCTTGAGTTCGGAGTAGAGCAACTGCTTTGGGAGATGATGGTTGGGCATCCGGACAACGTGGCCGGTCCAGCAGAGTTGATGGCGGAGGACCATCGCTTCAATGCTGGTGGTCTTTGCTTCTTCCAGCACGCTGACATTTGTCTGCTTGTCTTCCCAAGAGATTTGCATGATTTTCCGGAGGCATGCTGATGGAATCGTTCAGGAGTTGCATGTGATGTCTGTAGACAGTCCACGCCTCACAGGCATATAGCAGGGTTGGGAGGACAATAGCTTTATAAACAAGCACCTTGGTATCCCTATGGATGTCCCGGTCCTCAAACACTCTTCATTTGGAAAAAAGCTGCACTCGTAGAGCTCTGGCGATGTTGTATTTCAGTGTCAATGTTGACTTTTGTGGAGAGGTGGCTGCCAAGGTAGCGGAAATGGTCAACATTTTCTAATGTTACACCATTAAGCTGTATTTCTGGCATTGAGAGGGATTGGCTGGCGACTGCTTGAAGAGCACTTCGGTTTTCTCAATGTTCAATGACAGGCCAAGCTTCTTGTATGCTTTCGAAGGTGTTTAGAGTGGCTTGTAGGTCTTCTTCTGAATGTGCACAGACAATTTGTCATCAGCATACTGGAGTTCTATAACAGATGTTGTTGTAACCTTGGTTTTGGCTCAGTCTGCTGCGGTTAAATAGCTTGCCATCTGTCCAATAGATGATTTCCACTCCCTACCCATTTACACATTCCTCCAGCGCCAAGGGATCTGTTTTGCCATGTTTTAGATTCGTATGATTGCATCATGTGTATAATTATGGAAACACACGTGAAACCAGTTCTATATACTATCCATTTAATTCTTAGCATGGAGGATAGCTGAAACTAATTACATTTGTAAATATCAAGTCCTCAGTGTTTAGCTTGCTCCTTTATTAATTAGGTAAAATACTTTATCTTCAATGGCCTCCATGAAGCAATTATTGCTGCTTTAAATTACAGCCTTCATAATTTAATAGAAGGCTTTTATTTATAACTGATTTTTGTCATTCCCAGAGGCATTTCCGCTTATTCTTCCAAACTGATTGCACTGCATGATTCTTTGGATGCCTTTCTGTCCTACATCATCAGTGGGTCTCTTTGTGATTTCTTTTGGCATAGGTCTGCCCATGCAAAGCAGGTGAACATAGCATTGAATGAAACATGCAGAATAATCACAGGATGTCTTAAACCTACACCTGTTGATAAACTCTACAAGCTAGCTGGCATTGCCCCCCCCCCCCCCGATGTGCAATGGGAAGTTGCTGCTAAATGTGAGAGAAATAAGGTTGAACACTGTGAAAGCCATCCACTACATGGCTACCAGCCTCCTCCCAGCAGACTCAAATCAAGGAAAAGCTTTATGAGAACTACCACTCCTCTTGGTGTCCCCCCAGCAACAGCAAGGGTATCCCTCTGGGGAGCTAGACCAGGAAATCCCAACTGGATGGCCCCCCACAAGGATCTTCCTTCAGAAGTAAACCAAGAATGGGCAACATGAAGCCGCTGGGGTAGATCATCCGGAGTTTCGGGGTACGGTGTCATCTGTATGCGGATGATGTCCAACTCTGTCACTCCTTTCCACCTGCTACTAAGGAGGCTGTTCAGGTCCTGAACCGTGCTTGGCTGCTGTAACAGTCTGGATGGGGGCGAACAAATTGAAATTGAATCCAGACAAGACAGAGGTACTCCTGGTCAGTCGTAAGGCCGAACAGGGCATAGGGTTACAGCCTGTGTTGGACGGGGTTACACTCCCCCTGAAGACGCAGGTTCGCAGCTTGGGTGTGATCTTGGATTCATTGCTGAGCCTGGATCTCCAGGTTTCAGCGGTGACCAGGGGAGCATTTGCACAATTAAAACTTGTGCGCCAGCTGCGCTCGTACCTTGGGAAGTCTGACTTGGCCACAGGAGTCCATGCTCTGGTTACATCCCGTATAGATTACTGCAACGCTAAGTGGGGTTGCCTTTGAAGACTGTTCGGAAGCTTCAAATGGTCCAGCAGGCAGCAGCCAGGTTGCTAACAGGAGAAGCACTCACATACAACTCCTCTGTTGCGCCAGCTCCACTGGCTGCCAGTTTGCTACCGGCACAATTCAAAGTGCTGGCTTTAGCCTATAAAGCCCTAAACGGTTCTGGCCCTACTTACCTCTCCGAATGCATCTCCTCCTATGAACCGACTAGGACACTAAGATCATCTGGGGAGGCCCTGCTCTCTGTCCCACCTGCATCACAGGCGCGCTTGGCGAGGACGAGAGACAGGGCCTTCTCAGTGGTGGCCCCTCGGCTGTGGAATGCCCTGCCTGCAGATATCAGATCGGCCCCCTCCCTGCTGGCGTTTCGGAGGAAAGTGAAGACCTGGCTGTTTGAACAAGCATTTGATTAAACAGTGTAATTGAACATAGGAATACGGAATAATGGATGATGAGACTGGATTCTGATTTTACTGTTGAGGCGCTAATGATTGTTATACGGATGTTTAATGATTTATGTTACAATTGTTTTTAATTGCCCTATACTTGTCTCGTGATGTTTTGTATCGATGTTGTTCACCGCTTTGAGTCGCCTGAGGGCTGAGAAAAGCGGTATATAAGTAAAACTTGGAAGTCCCTGAACAGATTCAGAAGTGGAGTGGGCAGATCAAAAGACAACCTTGCAAAATGGCACTACCTAAAAGAATCCCACACCTTATGTGACTGTGGAGCAGAACAGACAACTCCACATCTCTATGCTTGTCCACTATGCCCTGCCTCATGTACAGAGGAAGAATTGTTGGAGGCCACAGACAATGCCATTGCTGTTGCCCGTTTTTGGTCAAAAGATATTTATCCACCTGCGCTCCTTCTATTTTTATCAGTTTTATTCTAATTTATGCAATGCTTTTGATATGAAATAAATAAATTGTGATTTCTTTTTTCCTATTTGTATCCCATTTAGAGTGAGAGAGAGCATAGTAAATTTGCTTGTAGAGAGCTGTCCAACCAAGAGGTCCTTGCCCGTGTGCAGGAAGTCGTGGGGGTTCGCTTTCAAGCCATTGAAGAAGAGTTTAAGAGAGCAGATACTGCAGGAGAAAAGGTTGTGTCAAAAGAAGTTTTCAGAGATATCTGCAACCGAAGGTTTTTACTTCTGACTGACGATCAGGTAAGAAAAGCAATGGGCAGGCTGCCGACTGACTTCTTTCCCCAGAGTTGCAATGTATTTTCAGACACAGAACTTCTTTAGTTGCCACTTTCAGCCTTTCCATAGTCATTGTGCTCATCCTTATATCAGGGCTATAAATGAAGCTTAACATTATCCCACAGGTGGCAGTAGTAAAAAAGACAATAGAGTTAAAACACGAGAAAAGCTGTTAGATCAGAACAAAGGGCTGTCTTGCCCAGCATTTTGTTCAAACACTGGATAAGCATGGATAAGTCTATGGGGATCCCACCATTGCAAGGTATGAATACAAGCAGGCTCTGATTCCTACTTCCCAGGAACAGTTCACAAGAAACGCATTGCCTCTGATCCTGAAGGTACTTTATGGCCATTGTGACTAGAGAGCTTTTAACTTCCCTTAACTAGAGAGCTCTTCCTTTTTCTCATCTTAGGAATGAATTCAGGAAAAGCTAGGGCTAGGGATACAATAGGAAATACTTTCTCAAATGATGTGTGATCCCTTGCCTCATTTGGGCAGATACCGATATCAACGCCTTCTTGGGTGGCCCTGTCGTCTTGGCTAGAATAAACCTTCACAGAAAGTTCCCAGAATCTCAGAGGGCTTTCTAGTAGTTGTTTTGTTTAAAAAAAAAACTTTTAAAACCTTAGGTTGTTTCAGTAATAGATTAATGAATAATACAACCAGAATGTGAA